AGCAGCGGGTGCGAGGCCGGCGCGGACGCGGGTGTGGACGTGCAGGGCCGGCCCCGCGCCCGGGCTATGAATCAGCTGCGGGGCGCGCGCCCAGGGGCGGGAGTTACGGGAAAGCCGCGGGGGAGGGCAGAGGGCTGAGGGCTTTTGCAATTTCCCGTCTCGCTGCGCTCTCTTGGCCCTCCTGGACCCACAGGAATTCGCCTCCTTGGGGTCCGCGGGAAAAGCGGGTGGGACCCTGCTGAGGTGCGGCCCCTGGACTCCGCGGCCTGGCGCGGTCCGGTGGGAAAGGAAGTGGGCGAGGCCTGGGAAGGAAAAGTGGAAACCGAAAACTCGGCCGGCTGGGCATCGCGCCCCTGTCCGCGCTGCTGCCCCCGCCTGCCACCCCGCGGGACCCAGAGGGCAGCCGAGCGATCGCGGAGGCCGGTGGGGTCTCGCTGGGCAGCTTGTTGTCCCAAACCTAGAGACAGAATCTCTGCTCTCCCCAGCAGAAAATGTTTGGGCAAAAGACATGCTCCCTAGGCAGACTTCGGACTGTTTGCATTTGGCGTTCAGAGCAATAAAACGAGTTTGGTAGAGTTCTAAGATTCTGGGTCGCGTTCCTGTCTAGAAACGTCCTGTCAGACACAGTTTCGCCTGCAGCAACAGCCCTGAAACCTTAGTTTCACAAAGAACCGTGTGTGCTGCAACACGTCTTACTTTTCCTTTGAGAAATGCCACCACCCAGGCTTTGAAGTACATGTTTCAACTACAGGACCTTTGAAACACGTATTTTAGATGGATTATCTAAAGCCATGTCGACTTTGGAGTTGGTATGGAAACCATCTTAATAATGCTGCTACCGTGGTAACCCTGGACCCAGAGAGGAGAGTCGTGGGTCCCCAGTGTTGGCAGAGATGTCCATGGGTCCTAGCTCCGGGTCAGCTGAGCCTGGTGGGGTTCGGGTATTGCAGAGTGCCGCAGATGACAAGGACTGGGATGGAGGGGAACCAATAGTGATCAAGAAGGATCACCCATGAATTGTATCTGAGAATTACTTCTTGAATTGACTGCATGGCTCCAAATAATGTCAGAATCAGCCCAAATATTACTTTCATGTTTGTCCACATTTTTTGCTCCTTTCAGTGTCATCCCAGGGAAAGAATTCTTTTTAGGCCTAAAAACTCTTAGTATCTCATGGTGCCACGAAGACTGTGGTGCATATAGTAAATAGCTGATAATAATGAAGTAAAGTTACTTTTGTCTAAAGAAATGTATGGTCCTTTGCCACACCTCTCATTACTTGGAGAGTTTCAAAGGATCCATTAGTTTAGCCATCTGCATAGCTATGGAACTTATGTCAAACCAGATCCTAGAGGGTTAGCAGAAAGGCTTTCTGATTCTGTACTTCGCTGGTGGAAAAAAAGTTAATTTCTTCTTTGCAGGAACAGTTCAGAGGGATGTCTCTTAGAGAAGAGGAGATGCCAAATAAAAAGTATTGAGTGTGAAGAATTTCTACAAGGTGAGTCTTAACTTACTTTGGGCTCTGGTAACAATTGAAAGAAACTAAGTTGCAAAAAAATTGGCGCTATTGGTTTACTCACAACCTCAGGGATTACCCCCCACCCTACCCCATGAAATTCTAAATTGGCCTCCTTACACAAAGGTCAAGGAGAAACTGAAGAAAGAGGCAGAGCAGTTCAGATTGGTAGGTGGCAGTTTTGATAAGCGGGGAACTTACCTAGGAGGCCTGTCTCTGGCGGCAGCACGATGAAAACTTCTCCTCACCTGCCTGCCACGATCTTGAAAGTTTACATAGAGGCCTTGATGGGGTTCAGTCATGTGAACAGTTCAGATGGGCTCAATGACACATTGCTCTCTCAAGGCTGCATCCTGGAAACTGGCTCCTGGTATAGGACCAGTGGGCAGAATGGACATTTCAAGGACAGAGGAGGGGGTAAGGAGCCTCTGCCTGGGGTTCTAGGGTCAACTGGAGGTCGTATTCTTTCAATGACCTCCTCCAATGGATGCCCACATAAAATTCATTTATTTTGTGCACCATTCTAATTTCTTGAAAGTATTCCTGTTTCTAGAGACTAGTTACTATAGCACCTGTAAATCTGTGACCATACCCTTAGGATGTATACTAGGTTGACTAGTGTCCTCCAAATATTCATGTCCACCCAGAACTTCAGAATATGACCCCATTTGGAAATACTGTTTTTGCAGATTTGATCAAGTTAAGATGAGCTCAGGCTGAATTAATCCAATGACCACTATCCTTACAGGACAAGGGAAATTTGATACCCAGGAAGAACACCATGTGACTACTGAGGCAGAGATTAGAGTTATTCTGCCTCAAGCTGAAGGATGCCGAGGATTGCCGATAACCAGCAGAAGCCAGGAGAAAGGTACAGAACAATTCTCCCTCTGAGTCCCTAAGGAAAAACTCATCTGCCAGTACCTTGATTTTTAGGGCTCCAGAACCCTGAGAGGATAGATTTCTTCTGTTTTAAGCCACCGAGTTTGCGGTAATTTGTTACAACAGCCCCAGCAAACTGATATATAGGTATGTGTGTGATACATATTCTGAAGGTTAGTTTCCAAAATTAGCCTGAAAATAGCTGAAATGGAAAAGAGGAAAATAACAAAGGATTATGAAGCTAAGCACTGAAACGCATTTCCTTGCTTAGTGTTGAGAAGATTATGTTGGGAAAAAATGCATATTTATTGTGCTCCATTTCACACTCCTCCCCGAAGTTCTCTGTAACTTCTGATTTCAGTAGTACAGCTCTCTCCACTCCCCCTACCATTTCCCTTTCTTCCCTGTCCCCTTCTTGATCTCCACTTGTCCCCAAGATGTTGACATGTCCCAGGGCTCCATCCTTGATACTCCTCTCTGAATCCACACAGCCTCCTGAGTGATCACATGCTCCTGATTTCCATGGGCACCTGTGTGCCGATGACCCTTGAATCTTCCTTTCCATTGCAATTATTTCATCTGAACTCCAAACCAACTTATTTGCACTTCAAAATCAGTATGTCCAAGTTCAAACTCTTCACTTTTCCCAGTTTGATTCTCTTACATTAAGTGAATAGCCCAATCTTTTAATTCAGATACCAAATCAAAAAAACCAGGAATGACTCTTGATCCATCCTCCCTCCATCTTCCACCAGAAAAGTCTCATATGTGTGACTATTACAGGGGAGGCATGAGTGGGATGTACCCCTACCCCATCTGACTTCTCAGGGGAAATATCATATTATAAATGCCAGGAACTTTACATAGATATGGCTATGGATATAGTTATAGGCATAAGTATATGAAATCAGCTATGTAAATTGTAAAATATAATTATGATTCTATTTATTCAACTGCTACAAATGTCTATAATTACATGTTTGGCAGTATTTGGTAACCAAACTGATGGATTTGAAGGAATTCGGAGTTTTCTGAAGAAAGAGGCTTCATCAAGTAAGTAGTGGATGATGATTTACAATTACTCTCATGGATAAGAATTCTCTGGTTTTTTTTTTTTTTTTGGCATATTACCACATTTGACATTTTAAAGATTCACTTTTAGGTCTAATAGGATGTTTCTGTGAATATGAGTGTTGGTGATACTGGCATTATTTCTAAGGAATCAGTGGAAATTAGTTATTTTGTAAATGTATTCTTGTATTGTGATAAACTAAATAAGCCTTTTGAAAAGTTTCTAATCTAAAATATATCATAAAGTTTGATTAGTTAAGAGAAATCTATGACTTTCAAATATATCTATTAAAAACAAAAGCAAGCAAAAAAAGGGAGCCAGCAATGACCAAGCAAGGTGTTGAGTGTTAGAGGGCCACATGGGACTTTCACATTTTATAATTTCAGGGGATTCCCTGTAATTACTTGAGTCTGAATTGCTTTCCTTTCAATATCTGTTAAGTGAATTTAAGGGAGGGGTACCATCATCCTTAATAGTTCTAAGGAGTTTCTTGTTTGAAATAGAGATTCCTGGAAGATTGGTTGATGAATTGATTGATTCTGCACATTCCACCTCTCCTGGGTATTGCGATTGTGTTCCCACCTTATTCCAGAAATCAGAAACCAGACAACGGGGAGAACTTTTAAAGTTCTTTTTCTTTTTCCACTGCATGAGCTTTAGGGATGATGTTGACT